ACCCCACCAAGACTTCCCGCTTCCCCTGTTGCACAGTATGAATTAGCCAATCCCCTTAAGCTTCCCTTCCCGCTTCCCCCTGCTATACAGTATAAAAAATATTCGCTGCTTTCACTCGGGGCTCCTTCGCCATTGTGTGAAGAGAGTCCCTGCTCGAGCGCGGCTCCTGTCGTGTTTCGTGGGATTCCGCGATCCGGGTACAACAAATCCTAGACAGTTTTCCCTTCAAGTCAAGCATCTTGTTGTTTAAATAAACTTGTTTACAAAAAAAACAAACACTCCAAAACTGGCAGGAACTGGCAGGGCAGAGTTCTTAGTCTTACATTCACTATCTCCTTGTTCCTACTAACCTTCAAACAAAATCAATATATTTTTTTCCCCAAGAATATCTTAATTCATAAAATGTTTTTATTTTTTAATAAAAAATATTAAAGTTAATACACCCACAGGAAAGTACATAAATCATGAGTATACAGCCTGACGAATGACCACAAAGAAACCTAACAGGTCAGCTACATAAGGCTAGGGGCAAGATTGCTGCCGGGGGTGCCCGGCCCCTCTCAGGCCTCTCCCTCCGCTTCCTAATGAGAACACCCTTCAGACTTCCAACACTCATTCATTCAATTCCGATTTATCAGCCAGGGACCGGAACTCTTTAGTCCTGGCAGGTGTTACAAACCCAAGCAGGAAGGCTGATCTTAGGAAGCTTCCTGTCAGAGGGCTGGCTTTTCTGGGGAGGGACATATTTCAGACAGTTTGGGGGCGTGTGTTGCGGGGAGAACTCTCTGAACTTTCTGAGACTCTTATTGATGAGTGTTGCCTTTATTACCTGTTTGTTTAAGCACATTCAGCATTTCATAACAGAGCAGATGGAGTCACAGCCAGAATCTCTTTGCTGCCTGACACATGAGAAGTAAGAGGCCCGTCCTGCTGGCACGAGGTCCCCGACAGCCAGCCTCTCCAGCACTGAGCTGCCCCTGACACCCCTGGGCAAAGCAGCTCCTGCCCACCTGCAGGGCAGGGGTTTTCTCTTCCTCCCCTTCATAGGGGTTCTAGGGCTGAGTTAACTGGACCTTTCTGAGTTGGGGAATGGGGAACAAATGTAAAACATATGTTTTCCCCCAGATATAAGAATGCCATTTGGTCTTAGGAATATTTTTTATGCGGCTTCTATTATCTGAAAGTTAGGGATATGGTGCCCATTCCCTTGCCTATGAAATCAATAGTCTTAATGGAGAGGTAGAGGGCAGCTGGTTTCCTAAAATGCCAGCCCTTCGCCAAATGTCCTCAAAATCAGGCTACACCGGTACTTTGCCTTCCAGCTTCTCTACAAAATCCTTGCCAGAATTCAGGCCAGGTATCTCAGGGACACCATAACGAGTGCTGACTCGCTCCATCTTTCACCCTTAAAGAGCTGATGTGACTTCCCAACTCCTCCCCATAGGAAGTAGCCAGGCCTTTGGTGGGGAAGAAGGGCAAGCCTGGGCAGCCCTGGAACACTGTGACCAGTGGTTCAGCCACATCCCTTCAACAAAATGTACTTTAAATATATTTTTATGATCAGCTGAGTTCTAAATTACAGCCATGCTGAATAAGAAGAGAGTAAACGTATGATTAGTAATTTCCGTATGGCAGAAAGCACCAAATAGTCTCTGGCTAAGGCCCAGGGCTCAACAAGGACTGTTCTTTCAGTAAAAAGGAATACAGAAAATGGCCTTTATTCCAAAGTCAAAGCCACAGGCCATGACCTTCTCTTTCCTGTATAGTAATAAGTCTTGCCTCATAAGGAAGTGGTGAAGGAAAGAAAAGATGAACTTAGGAAAATGCTCCAAGAGCTGTCTGCCTGCTTAACTTCCATCACTCATTCATGTACAGAGCCACCTCCTCCTCCTATACCATAAACACAGAAAACAGATCCTGGGCAGCCCTGATCCCTGGCCGTCTGGTAATGACTATTCCAGGAGATGCAGAAACGTCACTGAACGTGGAAAAATGCCACACGAAGACTACTCACCAAAAATAAATGATTCAATGTCAGGTTTCTTGTTTGGCTATAGGTCTCCCCACCCCACCTAACTTGTTTGGAAAAGAACATATGAATAGCATCTTATAATTCAGGAATGATAACATTCTCAGTATGGACCAATGGCCACACTGGGAAACACTTGGGATGCTTTGATAACAGAGCAGATTCTCAGACCTTAAGAATTGGAATCCTCAGGGTGGGGCCCAGAATTTGCATTTTCATCAGCTCCTTCAGGAAATTCTTATGCATGCTGTGAACCAATTACACAAAAGCCTCAACAAAAATAAAACTGTCTCTACTTGCAACAGGCTCCCTGGACCCCAAAAGGTTTTAAATCATTAGGATTTAAAGAAATGTTATTTCCTTTGAGGGAAAAAAAATAGTTTTCTTACTTGATTCTATCTGCAAGAGCTGTTATATATCTGCAGTATTTCATTATTATTAATACAAAAGTCTGGGATAAAATTCTTCTTATTAGTGTACTGGTAACTTACGAGAAGGGTCCAGTACTGCATGTATTTTGGGGACTCCTGCCAAGAGCAAGGTCTCCTCCCCCATAGTAAGCACAGGATTTAGTCCATTTAATCATGATGGTGGAGGACAAGGGGTCAGTTTTGCTTTTTTTTTTTTCTCCAACACTACAGTCTCCAGTTTCCTGCTGCTTTATACCTTTTGTCTTGGGGAGGATTCTAGGTTAGCCTCCACATTTCTAGGACAAGGATGTCCGGGAAATTGGCTCTCTGTCACTTAAAGGTTAAGCCTTCTCTTCACTAAAGCTGGACAATACACTGAGGAGTCTCCAGCCCTCTGTTGCCCTCACTTGGGGACTGTGCCCGTTTCCTGCCACAAATCCCTTTATGGAATGGTGCCTCCATAAATCGCAGCTGTCCCAATGGGGGAAGTCAGGCTGGTTTTATAGTGTGCCAAGATCCCAAGATAAAAAGCATTCTAAGTGCCCAGAGCTAGCAGAGCAAACAAGCCAGCATATGTTACCCAGAAGTTAGCTCCGTAAATACCTCCTTCCAGATACAACAAGCACTCATTTGCTTCTGCAGAACTCAGCATAAGAAACCTGAAATGCAGCACGCAGATGTAGGAATTCATTTTCTAACGTGTGGAAGGTATGAGTGCCTTCCATTCTCAAATGAAACAAAGAAAATTCTGAGGACTGCAAACCACCTGAGATACTTCCTTGCTCAAAAGGCGTGTCATGCTGTTAAGTGGCAGAAAACTCACACCCCCACTTCTCCTCAAACACCAACTCTTCCACTTTAATTTATTGTCCTATTTCAGGTCTGAAGGAACTTGGGTTTGAATAACTATCTGAAATGAAATTTAGCACAGATCCCAGAGCAAGCAGATCCATCATGGGAGGGAAAGGGGTGCTCACAACTCCAAGTACCTGAGCTCTCACTTTCCTGGTTCAGTGATGCGTCTCCAATACACCCGGGCTCTCACAAATGGCACCGGTTAAAGTTCACCACCAGCAATTGTGCCAAAACACAGTTGCATTTTGGCTGCCATGCTTCTTCATTTCATATGAGAATCATTCCCTTCACCTTTTACAAAGTATCTGAAAACAGGTGCTGCTGAGCCAACAGCACGCTGGAATAATGTGTGTATAGTTTCATCTTTCCTTTCTCATCCCTGCAGGTTTCAACCAGTCACCCAGCAGCTGCCCCCCGAACTAGAGTCAAGGACCAGTGCTTCTGCACCAGAGAAGAGTTAGCTTAGGAGTTAACTGTGAGGTTACCTGTCTGATGAATTGTCTGCCTACTTAGGTCTTAAGTCTGAGACTCCTGCTGTGCAACCTGAGTAATGAGCAGAGCTGGAGATGGAGTCATGCGCTTGGAGGTGTCTCCTTCTGCTGGAGCCTAAGACGAGTGGACAGGGCACTCAGCCTCTGCCCATCAGCTTTCACTGCCACTGCTGTAAGTCAAAAGGATCAGGGCAGACAGCTGTCAGAAATGAAGCAGGGACGAGTAAAAGAGCTTAATGAAATTTTATTTTGAAAATATGGCAAGAGTCTAAGGCACTTCAAACATTTAAATACATATAAGACCAAAGTAAATGTGACATGGGATAAAGGAATCCATAAATACATGGAGAACTACACTATGTTTCTCTAGAGGCCAATGGATAGCCAATTTCTCTAACACAATTCAACTTTCATCATTAGACACAGAATTGTGCAATTATTAATAAAAATACGGCAACATTACATGTCGTTCTTCATGTCTTCAGTTACTATGGAATATAAAAGTTCAAAATACTGTGTAAATTTTATATAGATACCCTTTGTATAAAATGTCATATAATACAGCCACCTAGATAAAACCAACTGAATAAACTTCCTTTTGTTAAGTTTTATACTTATTGAGACATTCCACCTTTTATTTTTAAAACCAGAAACCTACCAGCCCAGGCCTGATTCATTCATGATCAAAGTCATCAACTTCCTTATTTCAAAATAATAAAGACAAAAGGAAAATCAACAAAACCATCCTGGAATGGAGCTTTCAAAGAACTTTCCAATGGGTCCACATTTAGTAAATATACCAATGGGTCCACATTTAGTAAATATAAATACTTGTGGAAAAGTTTTAAAAACACCATGCCAGTGAGAACTTGATACTTTTCAGCAGTGGTGGGGGTGTGGAGAGCAGGAACAGAAGTAACAGAAGTTACCCACTCAGGTCAGGTTACAATTTCCTACAACTGTACATAACGGAGCAGAGACTCAACAGCAAGTGTGCCCTACACAGAGGGAAGATGGCCAGAAGGGAGGGGTGTGCCTAGCCAGAAATCTCTTGCTGGCTCAGCTTCCACTGGCAACTCCAGCCTTCAGCCCCTGGCTTTCTGTGTTCTGTTTGCTGGTGAGTTCAGGCACAATGTACATTCAGTATCTGTCAGCCCAACAGGAACAATTAGCAGCTTAGTGGTGGCATGTAAATGGACGGCTATTTGCACACAATCAGTCAAATGACCCTCGGTGGGTGGGACCAGGAGATGTCTTCCTTCCAAGTCTAGGGGTGCCCTAGAGACCAGGAAAGGAAAGGAAAAAAAAAACTGGGGGTTAATCAGTGACCTCAGGTAGATGCGTCCTCTGTGACACAGGAACTCCATAAGTACCACGCATGAGCCAGAGCCAGGAGGGCTGGAACCCCATACAGAGTCCTCCAGCGGGAGCTGCTCTCAGGCCAGTGGGCTTGGCAGAGCCACCTCCAGCTGTCCTGGGAAGTCAACTTCCTGCTGAGAGGGAACACTGGGACCACGGGCTGCTGCTCACTGTCTGCTTTAAGAAAGATGCCAGGAATGCAATGTGCATTTATGGGCTCAGAATGTGCCATTTGGGTAACTCTGTCCAGAACAAACCCTTCCCGTGAAGAGTGTGAGGACAAGCAGGCATCCAGCCTCTGCCGTGCTAACCATTAGCACTCCTGGCCCTCTGGGTGGGACAAAAATGATGAATTCTTATACTCTAGATTCAAACTTTGGTTTTCAGAATCATCATGAAACCTGCGGGTCCTGTCAGTTCCCTGAGGAAGGGGGCCCACCAGTCTGGTGGCCGTCAGCCGGTGGACAACACTGACCGGAGACTGGGCTTTGGCGAAGTTGACGTGGGCGTACAGCAGGACGGCAATGTCCTTGTGTCCGGCTTCCAGCGCAATCGAGAGCGCAGTGCTGCCATCCTGGAGACGAGACGGAAACAAGGCAGGCTGGGTTTCTCAAACTTCCCGGTAGCCAAGAGCTAACAGCACCGGTCCCTCTCAAGTGGGTAAGGCTCCCCAGTCTAGCTGTTTGTTCAGTTCTTTAGGAAACTCTCTGGACCTCTTAGGCACCAAGCCTGAAGGATGTCAGGATGATAGAGGCACAACCCCTACCCCACCCTCAGACAAGGATCAGCCCGTTGCCAGTGTCATCGCCTCACGGTGGTCAGTGTGTATGTCTGCACACAGGGAAGTCTCAACAAAAACAGGCTGCCCAGGAAGGGCTCTTAATTCACTCAGCTAGCCCATGGGCAGGGGGCAGTAGGCAAAGGCAGGGATAGAAACGTAACTTTTTTTTTCTTCTTATAATTACAAATGAGCCATCAAGCAGCGTGGTGTCTGTTCTGATGCCCTGCAATTTGCCAAGAATCTCTTAACTTTCCTCTTGGGGAGGGAGTGGGTCCTACAGCCCTAACCACCCTTGTAGAACACTCCAAGTCACACCTACATTTAAGCACTGAATCCTGCTGCTTCGCAGGAATATATCTTATGGATATACGAGGGGAAACACTAAATATGGGAAAGAAAATTTTCAGTTAGTATTCCATTAAAATGCAGGAATTTAGATGGATATAAAAGTAAAGTTATGAACGACCTAGACAGCATATTAAAAAGCAGAGACATTACTTTGCCAACAAAGGTCCGTCTAGTCAAGGCTATGGATTTTCCAGTGGTCACATATGGATGTGACAGTTGGACTGTGAAGAAATCTGAGCACCGAAAAATTGATGCTTTTGAACTATGGTGTTGAGAGTCCCTTAGACTGCAAGGAGATCCAACCAGTCCATCCTAAAGGAGATCAGTCCTGGGTGTTCATTGGAAGGACCGATGCTGAAGCTGAAACTCCCAATACTTTGGCTACCTGATGTGAAGAGTTGACTCATTGGAAAAGACCCTGATGCTGGGAGGGATTGGGGGCAGGAGGAGAAGGGGACGACAGAGGATGAGATGGTTGGATGGCATCACCAACTCGATGGGCATGAGTTTGAGTAAACTCTGGGAGTTGGTGATGGACAGGGAGGCCTGGCGTACTGCGATTCATGGGGTCGCAAAAGTCGGACAAGACTTAGCAACTGAACTGAACTGAACTGAAAGCTGTATCAAGACAAAACAGCATAATGGACATCAACTATACTTTAACCAAAAGTAATTAACAATAATAAAAAGACAAAATATGGCACAAATTATTTTCTTTCTAGTCCTGGGATAAGGATTCCCTTCTGGTCACCAGCTGCAGGGAACAATCTGTGTGTGGTTTGAACCTTAGGGTCCTCCCTGCCACTCTGAGTTCTGGGAGTTACTTTTCTTCCAGAGGCCAGCTGGATAGCCTCCTGCTCCTTGAAGGCTAAGGAAGCAAACAGGGGACCAGGATTTCTGGAAGTCACTGTGGCTTGATGGCCTCTTATTACGAGATCTACAAGCTGTTCTTTGCTGAGAGTAGAAGAGCAAACAGAATCAAGGCACATGAAACAGAGACTGCTTTTAAGGAAAGAGAGCGGGAAGCTGGCCCTCCCCTGCAGCGGATGTGAAAGGAATCTGGAGCAACCGCAGCTCACGTGCTCCTGGGGAGGTCATTGCAACTGCGGACGCCAGTCAGTCCTTCCTGCCAGTGAATGCCTGCACTGACTGGCTCTTCCTGCTGGTGTGGGCCTACCAGGATCTCAAGTGTAGTGCAAAGGAGAATGTTTTCCCTCTAATCTTTTAGTACTTGGGGCCAATGGAAGCCCCGGTTTCAACCTGTGCTCCAGAGAGATAAACTTTCAAAAACAGAACCAACCCAGCCAGTCCTCTGGAACCTTTGGACCTCTGAATCTTGTCACCACCCAAATGTTAGTTCCTGTGCCATGACCTATTGGTTCTCCTCCTCTTTGGTCTGGAGACACCCAGATCAGCAGCTTTCCTCAGAATTTTTTCCAGTTTTCCAGTCAAGGGGTTATCTGGGAATGGGAAAGTTTGGGAACTGGGAGAGGAAGGAGATGAAAGCAACAATAATGGGAACAGCCCGAGAAGGAGTGGGAAAATGTGCTGAAAGCAAGCCAAGATAGTCCGGATCCCCTAGCTGTTGAAAGGGCACAAATTATTCACTCGGATGGGCCCCAGTGAAGGGTTTCCAAGTGGGCTGGGGGTGGGGTGGGGGGGGGGGGGAGCTGGTCCTCTTCACTCCGTGCACCTGGCAGTGTCCTACACCGAATTTGTTTCTGCACTGTGGATCTGTTTACCTCCCTTTAGTGAACTGGTTCTCATACATGCCCATCACCTTCTTCCTTTTATAAATTTTGGAGTGAGGCCTATTTCTCTTTCTGCTCTTGGCTTCAGTTAATGGGAATATTAGTCTGTACACAGAAGATGCTGCCAAGCTGGGCTGTGAAGGGAAGTGGCCTGGATGACAACACAAATCCCTGAGAAGGATAAAGGAGCACTTGCTCTCTCCCCTGGTCAAGCAGCACCGCCTCTCCCCCAGGTCCCTGCATGTCACTGGCCTGGAGGCTCCACCCATGGAGACAGCTTACATTGTCCTCCAGGTGGCCGTTGCAGCCTGGCTGGGCCAGCAGCAGCTTGACGATCTCCACATGCCCATGCTCACTGGCACACATCAGGGCGGTGGAGCCCTCATCGTCCTGAATGTTGACATCAGCCCCGCAGGCCAGCAGGCCCTTCACCATGTCGATCCGCCCATGACTGACCGCCAGCATGAGGGCTGTCTGGCCTGCCTGTGAGGAGAAACAACAGCGGACTTGAGAAGCACATGGTGGGTTGGCAGGGTGTGACCCACAGTGGGGTTGTGCTGGGGGAAGGGAAGCAGGAAGAATGATGCTGGGAAAGCATCGACAGGGAAGTACTTGGGGCTGGGTGGCGGCAAGCAGGGAGAAACTCACTTCTTGTGAGCTATGAAATCGTAAGTAAGACCCTAAAGTCATGAGTCAGTTTTCCCTTTGGCTTGGAGGATCCGTCTCATGACAGCAAGGAGCTACAAAGTTCAGAAGATGGTCACAAGTCAACTGTGATCACATCTGGGTGAGGGGCCCTGTGCAGGCAGGAAGACACTGTGATCTGGAGACAGTCAGGGAGCAGCGGCCACTGGGTAGATGGTGGAGACTCCCAGTCACTCACAGGCAGGCTGACCCACGATTCACGTGCACATGGCTTCAAACAGATGTAATGCAAGGCAGAGAAGGGAGAAGTTTCCACTGTGTGGTTAAGCCAGCGTTTCATGGGTGTGTTTAGTCATCAAGGACCACTGGGCAGCCACACGGACTGTGCTCAGTGGTTAGGAGCGTGGCAAGGGCACTTGTGCAGGTCACAGCTATGCCAGCTAGCATAGAATCTACAAGTAAGTGTGCTCACCTGGCTGGCTTTGGCGTTCACATCCCCACAGGCGAAGAGCTCTTCCACAACTTGCATGTCTTTCTCTGCTTCCACGGCAGCAAGGGCTGCCAGCATGATGGGGGTGTACCCTGCCTTATTCTGGTGATCCACATTACACATGTCTGCAAAAACATGAGTCTCTTGAGGCAAGAGCCAGTCTTTTAACAGCATCAATTGTCCTCCTAAACTGAAGGTATGGAGTATGGAAGAGCCCAGCGAAATGGCCTCCAGCAGTCAAAGTCCCAGAGTGAGTCAGAAGGAAATGTGAGAGATGTTTTCATACCAAACCAAAGAAAAAGTTTTTTTCTAGCTCGTGAGAAATGACAGCAAGCTTTCACAGCCCCTCTTGTTTGCAAATAGCGGTTGAACTAAAACAGCCTGGAAGTCTGGGAGGCTGTTCCAGGTAATGGTTGCTTTGAAGAATACAATATAATGTGGGATCTAGACACTAACCTCTGTCTAGAACATCACCGTTTTGGAGTGAAGAAGGTGATCAGAGCTACAAGATAAAGAAAGATTTGTAGAGGCTTATGCAGGAACATTGAATATGGTGTTCCTCACTCATAAACCACGGCTCACTCTGAGACCCTGAGCTTGATGCTCCGACTCATTTGGGACCCTTCGAATCAGAATCCAATCACATGACACCCAGTTCTATGAACTGTGGTCTGACAGCAACTTTAGTTAAATCCCTTACAAACTGTCAGGGACTCCTAGACTCAATAAACCAGAGCTCTTCTAGTCCTGTAATTCTTAAGGAGTCTTCAGGGCCTAAATTAGGCTTCCCAGGTGGCTAAGTGATAAAGAATCCATCTGTCAATGCAGGAGACGCAGGAGACAGAGTTTGATCCCTGGGTCAGGAAGATCCCCTGGAGGAAGAAATGGCAACCCACTCCAGCATTCTTGCCTGGAAAAGTCCATGGACAGAGGAGCATGGCAGGCTACAGTTCACAGTGTTGTAAAGAGTCAGACATGACTAAGCATACATACACACACAGGCCCTAAATTATCCTGCAGGCATCCTTAAGTCCCTTCAGCACTTTCTAATAAAAAGAAAGGAATGGACAGTGCAGGCAGGAAACTTTTTATGTGAGACCAGATACAATTAAAGTGCTTAGGGTGTTTTTGTCATTGAGATTGAGAAGAGACGGTATGGTGAAAACGTTCTTAAGTTCTAAACAACTGCATACTGGGGACACAATGGTATTTACAATACTGCGTATTTTTTAACATAGAAAATGAAAAAGAAAAGAAAAAATCTGGTGGAGAAGCGGGTGAACAGACATGCTCTTCAAGGCTCCTTACTATCTCTGGCATTCGGCTCTTCGCTGATATTACTGGTATCCTAGATTCACAAACACTCTTTATGGAGCCACAATCCCAGTCTATAAAGGTGAGCATTATAAAAAGTGAAGTAAATCCAGAAAAGTGATTAACCAAAGCCATCCAACAATGGAACTAAAATAATTTAGTTTACCAAAATATTCTGCCCATACAAAATTTCCAAGGGCAGATTAAACTGTTACTTTCAGAACCAATCCTGAAATCCTGTTCTTAGCTTTCCCGGATATTATCCACGTCTCTGTTAAAACAGTAACTTGTGCTGAGAGTATCACCAACTCTGTTTATAGTCTGGAAAGTCTGAAGGGAAGGAGGCTTGGAATTCCCTCCTTTAAACTGGAAACAGTTTTATCCTAACATGGCCCCTAAACTGAGAACAATCAAACTTAGAAAAAAAAGATAGATTTGTTTGGTCTCTGCATTAATCTAATGTTCCCAAAACAAAGCAGAAAAAAATTGGGACAGCTGGGTCAAGAAGCAGAATGGGAAAAGTGGACAATTGCACTGCATATTCTAAATCAGATGTTCACACTGCATTCTCATTCATCAGATTGAGGTACTGTGGATTCTGTATCCATCAAATTAGAAGTAAAAATACGTATTTCAAAAAGAAATAAAAGTGACTTACAGACTCAGGGTATCGATAATAATTTGAACAAAAAGTTGAAAGCTCCCTATTACTCAAGGCGACCCTTCTATGTAACAACCTCTCACTCCATGTTTAATACATCCGTTGGCTATATTCTCGAATGGTTGAGTTCTAATTACTAACAAACATTTTCACTGTTCTTATTACTATGATTCAGATTCAAGAATAACACTTTCTTTTCTCAAAGCTGATTTCCCAGGAATAGGGTGCATTTTGGCGGGAACAGTGATGCTTCTACCACAATCCGTTGCAGCAGCTTTGCCCGATCCCCACTGTGACTAACTGCATAGCTCGGCAAAGTGGCTGGAGAGGGGTCATGGCCCAAGCAGAGAGAGCTGCCCACAGACATGAAAGCTCTGGCTCTGGCCCCAGGAGGAGCATTCTGCCTCTTCAGAATGAACCCGGCAAGCCTACCTGAGTCAGCTAGGCGGGAATGTGAGTCATGTGTGTTACCAAGGAAACATCTTGCTGAACTGCAGCACAAATATCCTGAATGACTCAAGAATGAGATTCGTACCGTCTCATGGGGAAAAGCAATGGAAAGGTTTTTAGAAGGGTCACAGAACTGAGTGGGTCGGATAGCTCCTTCGAGATGAGTCACAACCTGAGCCTGTTGGAGGAGAGAAAGGGACTGCCAGCATACCCGCGTCCAAAAGCATCTTCACAATCTCGAAGTTGGAGTGGGACACGCTGTAATGCAGGGCGGTATTGCCGTTGCCGTCCGCCATGTTGATGACATGACGCAGGACTTCCGGGGAGATGGCCTCAAAGGCTGCTATGTAGTCCCCCACCATGGCCGGGATGGCCGACTTCTGGCTGGACACGCGGAACCACTCGTGCTGGAGGGTGTTCAGACAGAACCGCTGCCAAGACACGAAGCGGTTGGCCATTAGTAGTTCTATTTATAGACCTTTCTGAGACCTAGCTGAAAGCCGAAGAAATCAGGCCTTTTATAGTCAAAGCACATGCAGATAGAATCCGGTCTCAAAGAACAACTAATAAAACCAGAGTTCTCAGAGAAGCCTCAAATTCCAGACTGAAGTTTATCTTCTGATTTGCACACATGCACATGTTCTAACTTCTATACCATCATGCAAGAATTATACCACGATGCTCAAATTCTGACTCTGCTATCAACAAGCTGTTCAAAGCTGGGGAAGATACTTACTCTGTGCCTCAGCTTCCTCATCTGCAAAATGGGGGTAATAAAAATACCTTTCCTTCACCATGTTTGTGATGACAAATGAGGTAATACATGTTAAGTCACTTAGGCCAGGATCCATTTATTATTGAACTATTAATATTATGTAGGGAGGTTGGCCTTGAAAATGATTTTCATAGTAATCAGGACAGGAGAAATCATTTGACACAATTAGGTTGCCTTTTCCTGTCCAGTCCAACTTCAACTCCTTCAACATCCATCTCCACAGCACTAGGCTGGAGACCATAACCATGCAGGCACCTGATTCTTACTACATCCCAAATAAAAATGTTCAACCACAGAAAGAGAATAAAAAGCAAATTACTTTTTGCTGAAACAAATTACTTTTCCCCATCAGGATCATCTGCATCTGGTCATCAGCCCCACTTGCCTTCCCTTAGGCTATGGACACATGAAATTGGCATTTCATAGTTTGGGTCACTTGAATGAAAAGGGTCCTGACCAGGAAAGAATTCATCTAATTTTTCTTTTCTTCTGCTCACTCACATATTCAGATTTCAATTCCTCTGGATACCTCACACAGAAGGAAGGGCAATTATGTCATTTGGGTGTCAAACTCTGTTATAGCTACATATGCAGTGTCCTGACATGGTTACATGGCCCTGGCGTTGCGATCATTCACAGTTGGGACTCTTCATAGCACAGTACTTTAAACATGTCTTTACTGAATGAATATTCAATTAACAAAAAATGGACCAATCCTGGAGTGTGTGCTAAGAATATGCTTGACAATTGGGGCCCCAGAAATGTTAAGTCCTCCCTGAGGATCACATCACCTAGTATTATGGGTAAAGTCCCTCGTGGCTCAGTGGTAAAGAATCCACCTGCCAATGCAAGAGACACAGGTTCGATCCCTGGGTCGGGAAGATTCCCTGGAGAAGGAAATGGCAACCCACTCCAGGGAAATCCCATGAACAGAGGAGCCTGGAGGGCTACAGTCCATGGGGTCACAAGAGTCCGACAAGACTTAGTGACTAAACAGCAATAACAATGGGGAAGGTAAAAGTAAAAGTATATAACAGCTATAAAATCTGGGGTCTGAAAGCATCAGTTTTAAGTTCAGGTTAAACTTAGTGGGAAATATTAACACTGCAGTGACCTTTCCTGGTTTTATTATTTGTGACCAAGGTAGTACAGACAGGCACTTAGTCTATATTGATAAGAGTTCAACATGTACATAAATGTCCCCCTAGCCCAGGGACTTCATTTAGTATTTCCTTCTGTAAACATCACTGCCATGCTCCTTTTCCAGTACAATATTTGAGGGTTAAGATTCAGCTGGCTCTGATAAATTTAAGTTTCTAAAGCAATATAAATAGATGTGAAAAGACAGCATAATTTAAAAAAAAAGACACCATATAACAAGGTAATATGATTTAGTTGGGATTAAAAAAACCATGGGATGAGAACTGAAGACAGATATCATCCATTCTGAGCACTAACTAGCAGCTACTTATAATCTTTAGGGCTTCAGTTAAAGCAGGATAGACCAGGATAGAGTGTCTTGGTGGGCACACGTACGTCCTTCTCCTGTGCTAGCCATCACCAATTTTTCTTCAGATTGTGTTTGTTATATGAGAAAAACTATTTGCCTTTCTAGCATTAGGTAATTCCCTAAGTCTCTTCCAGTCTTAATATTTTGGTTTTATAACTCTACAATTTTGTGAAACCTATGAACCAACTTTCTCATCAGCTGCAGACTTTGATTATTTAACATAAAACTTCACATTAAATCTTCCACTAATATGCAAAGATTCAAATGAACATTACTATCTAGAATAACATGAAATGCTGTATCTTCTCAGTGCACTGAATTCAAGTGTCTACCAGAAGGTTGGTCAAACCTATGAAAGAAGCTGCAAATCTGAACATCCCTAGAGCAACATACTTGGCAAGAACATGTGATTCACCATGGCCACGGAAATATTTATCTGTCCTATGTTATGCTACTCATGCTCCTTAAGGCAACTGTCTACCTCTTTGCTGCATGCTTCTAAATCTCTCAAGCTGTGAGAGGCCAACAAGTGCAGTTATTTCTAGGTTTAAAAATAGTGACTGCCTGCATTCCACATCAGAGTGTAATACGCAGTTTCATAATTGAAAGGAATGCTGACCTCGGCTCAGATAGGTTTCCCTTAAAAACACAGGCTAACTTAAAAAATTCCAAGACTCTGCTTCCAGGATCACAAGGTTCTGTAAACACCCGAACATGCAGAAAGATGATGAATGGCTGCAATTAGCCCTCCTTTCCATATGCAAGTATTTGCCTCACAGATGCTCAGCCCCCAAGAAAAGTACAGGCTGGAGAAAGGAGATCTGAAGTCAGGCCTGAGGGAGACATTCACAGAGTGGTCCGGAGTGCAGGGCAGCAGAATGGTCACTCTGCCTACACACACTAGGAACAGTCTGGGGGGAAAGAGTGCAGGCAACAACAGCCCAGGGGCAGCCTAGAGACAGGGTCTGTAGGTCAGACTCACCATATCCTTGCTGGTCAAAGCTTTGGGGTCATTTATATTATTTTTCAGTAAGTTGCATGCAGACAACATCTTTTCACTTAATTCATATCTAGAAAGAGGGAAAAATAGAAGAAAGAGCGCTCAAGACTGACTACAGAAGGAAAGGCATTTTTACCTCAAACTCTATAACCCTTTACAAGACCAGGAGCCCCAAGTCAACCTCAGCAGGCTGTGGTGGTGCTAGGTGCCTGCCTGGGAGAGTCCAGACACCTGAGGTCGGATGCTGCACACAGAGCCAAGGCCTCCAGCCAGAGCTCTGGCCTTAATTCATGAGGGTAGCTTTCAGTTTCACCACTTTGGCTTGTGTGGCATTATGGAGAACCACTTCTTTGGTTCTAAGTTCTTAAACATATTTTTACTCTTGAGGGGTTGAAGAGGTCTGAATTACCATACACCCATTATGCTGACCAGTAAACCACACATCTGAAATCACATTTGGTGACTCAGGAAGGGTTTGTTTAACCCACACGAAAACAGAAACTTAAAAGTCAGATAACATATGGTATATAAAACATACCTCAATAAAGCTTTAAAAAAAACAACATATCAAAATATTGAGCCATTTGAAAATACTTGAAGTATAAAGGCACTTACCTTATGTTAATGCAGTTAAATACTCATTTGCCAAATTAGTTTTCTGAAATGTTCTAGTTATACTTCACATGGTGAAAAAACATACTGAAATTTCCATCTGTTCTGCTCTCTCCTGTTCTATAAGCATCGATTCCATGTTTGCTAAGTCTTTAAAACTGGCTATACTTTTAGTACATGTTTTAGCCAACCAGAGTATTTGATATTTCAGCTGCTGTTTATGACAGTCCCAAAGCCATTCTTGTGGTGATCCCAATCACTCAATGAGCAACAAACTATGGGCATGTGACGGATCACATCATCTCTACAGTAAATGTAACCTTTAGTAGAGACCAAAAACTGTTCCTGTCATATAGTATCAGTATGGACCCATAATATCAGTAAGGACACCTGTATAAGGATAAATGGGTAATGGTAAAATCTGAAACTTTAATATGTGAAACATGTTGGTTACAAAAAATTCTAATATGCCTTTAACTACAAACGGGGTTGTTAAAACAATGGAAGCTTTAGTGGTGCTTAAGAGTTCCGTGGATGGTGCCTCCACATACAAAGTTAGATATTAAACAGTTAAAGAAACAAAGGTGAACTGATACCAAGCCCTTCTCTTTGCTACCGTAAGAGATCTAGCAGATTATCACTTCTGCACTTGTATCTACTAGCATCAGGACAAGAAGGACACACCTCTAAGGAACGGGTAAAGTTTAGCCCTTTGTTGGAGACTGGAAAGATTGATCTATTAAGATTCAATTGCACAACCTGCACAACCAGCCAATTCTACTGCTAAAGTACATCAAACGTGGGAAGGGTGAGGGGAGGGGGAGGATGTACCACACCTCTCTCTGATTTCCACCTTCTCAGGTTCACATTCTGGAACCTGCATTTCATCTTCCACCCTGGTGGACGTGAAACCTTCCACATTAACTGCGTGGTGGCCTTCCGCCATTCCCCGAGTGTCTTCATCCTCCTCTTCCTCCTCCTCTTCCTCGGGAGGATACTCAGGGACATCACACTCGTCATCTGACTCGGAAGAAGAGCTTTCATCTGAGCTGGAATCATCACTGGAAGTGGTTTCATACCTAGGTGGCAATTGGGAGTTCAGGAGATGCGAGGTACACCCATGAAGACCCAGTGACAGAATGTTTATGAAGGGAAAGCTGCTAAATGACTCCAGAACTTTCACCAGTGGCTTTCAGAGCCTGCACTTAGAAGTTTGGAGTAAGGTCTACTTAGAAATCTGGTGGTTCTGAATGGGTTCTCACTTAAAAGGGATAACCAAGGTTGCTGAGCAGTATCAGATAATCACTTGTAGAAAATAATATGTATATATATAGCACCTCTGGCTTAATGTTCATCAAAGGAAACTTATTTTATGGAAACCAATTCTGTGGTTGTTCATCTTTCCTGTTCCTTTTCTTTCCCCTTTTCATTCTTCCTATTTTGTACCTTTAATTCTCCCATTGTCCAAGGTGAACAGATTACGTAAGTGACCAACAGTTCCTCTGGTACACACTCTCCAAACTGTGGGACACATTACCCAATAAAATGTTAATGACTTGGAAAGCAGACACCACTAAGTTAAACCTTTATGGCACACTTTACAATAAATATTATCTCAACTAACTCTGCACTATTGTTTCTTGTTAAGCCCATGTATGGATTAACAGGATTAACTGCTTTGATTCAACTTTAAGAGGACAAACAGGCTTGACTATTTATTTACCTTGGCCAATTACAAGAGAAGGAATAAAGCAACTAAAACACATTCCATTCAGAAAATGAAGAACTGACGGCATGGTGAGGTTACTCTTCGGGCGAGAGGCCCTACTATTTTGTTTGTAAGCCTGGGGAGCCAAGCACAATAACCCGTCCTGAAGGAGTGGATGACTGTCCCTGGCTCACGGAGCAATGCTCTCAGTCTTTGTTTGTTGCTCAGTCCTGCCACAGGCAAGTTACAAGCTGTCCAACAATGCAGGCAACCTGCTGCCTGCTGCTTTCCTTGAAGACCATTTGTTTCACATCAAAGATGAGAGGATGTAAATGACTCAGCTTCATCAGGTATCCTTTCAAGAGCGAAATATCCTTACAGAGAGCAAGAAGAGAAAAGAGAGGCCCAGATGCACCTTTATGAGGAGGGAATCTTCTGTCACCCTATGCAGCAGCATCCTAGACTAGCACCTTTAAATAGGACTTGGGTAGACAGGAGGCAAAGGAAACAGACCACATATCAACACTAGTACCTCCATCTTTCCTTACCCTCCATTAATGCCAACAAACTGAAGATTCTTTTTTGCTCCATTTGAATCTTTGTTGGCATCTTTCTTCTTCATGATGGACTTCAGTGTACTTTCATTATTTGTACATACTGTGGAGAAGTGAATCATGGTGATCAAAATTAATATAATTCATACCCATATAAGTAAGCGAATAGGTATTCTTTATGTACATTCATTTTTTATTTATGTAACTAGAGATCTTGGCATGTATATATGAGAAACTTGTCCAAAATTCATTGGAAAATTGTGTGCATGCAAAGAAAATAATTCAAAGTTCCATTAATAACATTCTTTAAATGGAAAAAAAAAATCCATTAGTCCTTCCAGACATAACAAAAGCAGTGACAACTAGCATCTATACCAGGCTTTACTGTTTATAAAGTGATGTCATATCTCACTTGATCCTCAAAAACCATCAAGGCACTAAGACAGGGATTAGTATTAGTCTTTTTTTTTTTAAGTTGAGATAAACCTAGAAAAATTTATACTTGTCAGACTGTGAACAGTGAAATGGTGTTTAAAATATTTTGTAATTTGCAACATCAGATGAGTTTTCTTAAGGGGACCTCATGGCTTTTCTTTGATAATCTTAAGAGATATTCTAGGCCTACTTCCTAACAACTGTGTAATCATTCTTCCAGGTCAATTTATAAGGAACATGGGCATTAGACTGGAATGCTGACAACTCTGGTCCTAGAATCCTGATGCTGAGAAGGGTTGTGAGTGAGGAAAGTTACCATAGAGGCCAGCGGCTATCTGGTCGTCTGTCAGGTTCACTGGAGACAGCGTGCTTTCCTGAGTGGGGAAGGTATCCTGGCTGCCGATGGGCTTCCCTTCCATGGTCCCCACCTCCTGAAGGGATGTCTGTGAGTTTAATGGCCCTCCTGACTGAAGGCCTCCACACTTACAGGTGTATTCCAAATTACTGCCTGTGAGGAAGGAGAAGGATGTACAAATGTGTGATGCTAGGACCAAATAAAATGGGCTAAATGGTTTTAAAAAAACTTCTTGCAATTCATCATTTTCTCAAGCACTTTTCTGGTGTCTTCTTTCTGCATAATTAGCACTACTATCCAAGCCATCTAAAAATCAGACCCCCAAGGCCTTCTTGACTCTGATCTCTTCCCTTTGACCACATCCGGAGGGGTCCTTCTAACTCTGCAGCGGCTCTCTGCTGTCTGTCCTGGCACTGCCACCTTACTTTACACTGGATCACCAGTGCAGCATCCTGACTGTCCTCTCCCTTCACATCTGCCCTCTCCCACACTGCCACAGAGGGGAACTGCCACTCAGCTCAAACCCCACCCTTATTCCAGCTCAAACGCGACTTGAAAACCTAAAAATCTCTCTACCACTTAGAAAACATAGTTCATGCTATCAATACTTAGCCAGATAATTTAACATCTGCCATTTGGCACTAGCTTACCTCTCCAAGTTTATTTCCTGCTATACCTGTGGTCTTTTTGGGGTGCATCCCAGGAAGTGGAACTCCTCCCAGTGTAGAAAGTGGGGTCTCCTGTTTTCTTACAAGCACACCTGCCTTAGTTTACTCTCTTCTACCTGTTGCTGCTCCTTCCCTATCCTCCCTCACATGGCCAACCCTCCCATGACTTCCTCTTCCAAGCCTTCCCTCATCTCCCCACTGGAAATTAACTCTCCTTTCTCTGAACTCTCAAGGCCCATCTTTGAGACTCTCCTACAAGATCTGTAATACAAGGTACTAGCTGATTCCTGTGACAATCTTAGACTCCCTTCTTGTCTGTAAATATTTTAAGGGCCTACATAACTAATCTAATCAACTTTGTTTCTCTCACTGCATCTTCTAGATTGCTTTTGCTTATGTTAGGTAATTAATATCTGTTCACTGATGAAGCAGAAAAATTGGATTATTATTATGTAATTAACATACACACACACACACACACACACATATATATATATATATAGGTACAGCACAGAATTTGTGGGCTTCCCAACTGGCGCTAGTGGTAAAGAACCCGCCTGCCAATGTAGGAGACATAAACACAGGTTCGATCCCTGGGTTGGGAAGATCCCCTGGTGGAGGAAATGGCACCCCACTCCAGTATTCTTGCTTAAAGAATCCCATGGACAGAACAGCCTCGTGGGCTACAGTCCATAGGGTCACAAAGAGTCGGACATGACTGAAGCGACTAAGCACACACACACACAGAATTTTCAATGTGGCTGACATTTCCTAATCCTGTTCATCAACAGCACAATGCTTCCTCCTTTAGTTCTGTAGGTACTGGGACCTCTCTGGTGCTTTCTTTACAAATCCACCTCCCAACTCATCATGGACAGACAGTACTGAATGCAGCCCTTCAAATAATGTTCAACTGCCCCACGATCTGATGTGACCACTGACAGCAAATAAGAAATGTCTCCAGTGCCTTTTCAGGCTCCAAAATCACTGTGGATGGTGACTGCAGCCATGAAATTAAAAGAGGCTTGCTCCTTGGAAAGAATGTTATGACAAACCTAGATAGCATATTAAAAAGCAGAGACATCACGTCACTGACAAAGGTCCGTCCAGTCAAAGCTATGATTTTTCCAGTAGTCATGTATGGATGTAAGAGTAGGGCTATAAAGAAGGCTGAGGGCTGAAGAACTGATGCTTCTGAACTGTGGTGCTGGAGAAGACTCTTGAGAGTCTCTTGGACAGCAACGAGATCAAACTAATCAACCTTAAAGGAAATCAACCCTGAATACTCATTGGAAAAACTGATGCTGAAGCTAAAGCTCCAATACTTTGGCTAGCCAAAGCAAAGAGCTGACTCCTTGGAAAAGACCCCGATGCTGGGAAGGATTGAAGGCAAAAGAAGAGGGTGACAGAGGATGAGATGGTGAGATAACATCACTGACTCAATGGACATGAGTTTGAGCAAGCTCGGGGAGACAGTGAAGGACACGGAAGCCTGGTGTGCTGCAGTCCATGTGATCACCAAGAGTCAGACATGACTTGTTGACCAAACAACAGCAACAACCAGTGCCTTTGCTTTACTTTAGGTAAACAAAGCAGGACATTTCTCTTCATTCCTCCTTTTCTAACTTCATTCATCATTACTTCAAAATTACGACAGTAACCTCCAGAGTCTCAACAGTTAATCCTCAAGTGCCAAAACACTTCCTAGAGAAACACTTTCACTAGGCACTTCTGCATTCAAGAACCAACAATGATTTTTAAAATGCAAATACATTAATAGTTTTATTGTTATGCAACAGTCACAAAAGTAGAGAATGGTATAATAAATCCCTCTGTTTCCATCGCTAGCTTCAATAATGATCAGCTATCTGATTTCATCAATACTGCCTCCAGCCATTCCCAGTGATTCTTCTGAAGCAAAAGGTGAAGATCCTATCACTTTAATTCATAGATATTTCAGTATATATTTCTAAAACATTCTTAAAAAATAAGCATAAAGCTAAAACCATCAAATCTAAAAAAAAAAAATTTGAAATTATTATATATCTAGTCAGTATTCAAATTTCTGCAGTGATCTCTTAATGTTTTTTAATAGTGTTTGAATCAGAACCTCAGTCCTGTATTTCCATTGGTTACTATGGTTTTTAAGTCTTTTAATCCATAGTTCTCTTTCCTTCTAAACACAGCTTTTAAAATATTTTTTAAATTGATGTATAATTTATATAAAATAAAATGAACACAATTTCAGTGTAGAGTTTGATGAATTTTGGTAAATATACATGTATGTGTGAGCACCTCCCTAATTTAGCCACAGAACATTTCTGACAACCCAGTAAATGCACACTTCCCACCTGCTGTCCTTTTCTAGAAAATCTTCTCACTGGAGGCAACCACTTCTCTTCTCCAGAACTTAGTTTTGTAAACTAGGGCTTTTAAAAGTTCCTCCAGTCAAGGTCCACCTTCTCAAGCAGGTGCCTGAGGATCATTCATGGTGAACATGGACAGCTTCTTCTTGCCTGGGGTAGTTAAACTGCTCAACAACTCCTAACCTCTACTCAGAGTGGTCTGGTGACTTAGTAACTCTCACCTCTCTGCCCTTCCTTACGAGGCTGTCTTAACAGGCCTGGAATTTCAGCTTCCTTTACCAGCAGAATTCCACTCATTCTTTTCAAGGGTTGGCATCATTTCTACTTCCTCTAGTCTTTACCGTTACACAAAGATCTTTACCCCTCGCTGTTCTGCAGTGCTTACTGCCCAGACCAGAATACATCCTGCCCTCTGTTTCCTTGGTCTTACACATCCCTTATGTGAGAATGTAAGCTCCTTGAAGTCCCTCCGTGCTACATTATCTGTGTCCTCTGCAGTGCTCTGAACAGTGCTGGACAACTTAAAGATTTCAGTAAGTGCCTGTGTAATTCAACAGAAAGTCACAGGGATTGTTAAGTCTAACGAGCAAGGCAAAGAACAACGATAAATGTTAAACTAGCTCTCATTAGCTGGATCAGAGGAAATTTGTTACCTTTACTGTCAGAAAATATTTTTCAGATTGTGTTGAAACTCTGGCTGCTCTTGAATGACCCAGAAACAATTGCCTGACCTTGATAAAGACCCATTGTGTTTAGTGGGCATAGATAAGATGACACACGCACCAGCATTAAGGCTGACAAATGACTGCTGTGTTCAAGTAAACCACATGAAAAGTGCAGCCAATAAAGTCAAAACTAAAGTGGCCAACAAAATTCATTGGTCTCAACCTGGTTGCCCTTAGAATGCTTGAGTTGGGCGTGAGATACAATGAACTATCTGCAGATGGATCCAGTATTTGTGGTTTTTAAAGCTCTACAAGTGAGACTTCCCTCAGTGGTGAGGAATCGCCTGCCAATGCAGTGGACACAGGTCTGGCCCCTGGTCTGGGGGAATCTTGTATGCCTCGGAGCACGTAAGTCCCTGTGCCACAACCATCAAGACTGTGCTCCAGGGCGGGGGTGGGGTGGGCTGGGGGGTAGGGGGTGGGCCGTAACTGCTGAAGCCCGCGAGCCCTAGAGTCCATGCTTCACAGCAAGAAAGGCTACCACAACCAGAAGCTGTGTGCTGTAGCTGGGGAGTGGCCCTTACTTGCCACAACTAGAGAAAAGCCCACTCAGCAACAAAGACCCAGCACAGCCAAAAATAAATGAATAAATAAAAAATTTTTTTTAATTCTGCAAGTGATTCTAATGTGCAGCCAGGATTAAGAACCAGTGAATTAAATTAACCAATCAAAAATTTGCTGAAAACAATGTAAAACTTGACTGCGGTAAATAAGAGTTTAGATTTTCCTTTAAGAGTCAACTCATTGGAAAAGACTCTGATCCTAGGAAAGACTGAAGGCAAAAGGAGAAGGGGGTGGCAGAGGATGAGATGATTAGATAGCATCACCAACTCAATGGCATGATTTTAAGCGAACTGTGGGAGACAGTGAAGGACAGGGAAGTCTGGCATGCTGCAGTCTACAGGGTCACAAAGAGTCAGATACAACTTAGCAACTGAACAACAAAAACTGATTTCACTCTATCAACTTAGACCATGTAAATTATCAGGAATTATTGGTGCTTTAGGTTAGCAGTCCTGGACCACTAATGGTAGAAATCCCTGACTAACAGTAAATGCCATGCAAACAGTAAGGGTAAAACAACAGGAATAATCACCAAACACCTTCAGAATTCTGGTACACTACCCAAGCTACTCAAAATTCCCACAGTGGGCAATAGTTGTGCAGGTACCACTGGGGAATGAACAGGGAAGGGGACAACTGCAATCTTTGGTCATTAACTCAAACTTATAGTGGCCATAAATGCCAGTAAAGCATGAGCTCCGTTTTACAACTTGACCAGATTAGTGATAACTAAGACACAGCAAGTGACAGAAATCTGTGATCCAGAAAATAAGAGCATCCTCAAAGCATTAATCTAATTCTAAAGTACACTTAGCATTTAATATAT